CACCTTCTATAGTCAGGTGATATTTCAGAGCATGCAGTGCAATCCTATATAAGTCAACTCAGCAAGTAAGCCCCATTGAGTTCAATGGGACTTATGGATAAGTGTGTACAGGAGTGCAGTCTCTTAGCTTTTTTCATATAATATATATTTTTAACACAGCTTTATTATGTGTTACGTCTTAATGTCAGATATGTGCTGTTTTTGAACAGTATTTGAAAGTACTAAGTCATGAAATTTGCAACTCACAAGAGAATCCTCTCCTAGACCTTCATTCATTTAAAGCAAGACAGTTGCATCCTAATTGGATTCAATTACTGATATTTTACAATCTTTATGGGTCTAAGGAAACCCTACAGTAGCCTTAAAAGTGTGTGTTTAAGATGGAACACACTTGAAAATGGTTAGGAATGTTACAGCACCTCATTTCAGATAAAGATCAGTTGCACTTGATTTGAATTCCAGACCTCTCAGCTGTGGTCGGCTGACATCTCCCAGCATTTATGACATTTACCAGCGATATCCCATTATATCAGTTCACCTCCAGAGGCCAGATGACAAGATGCAAAAGATTTTGGAATACCTATTCTTCTTTTTAAAAGGACATTTTAGGCCATTACAAGAAAGCTACAGTAGAAAAGTGAACTTTCCTAGAAACAGCCCCCCCCCCCAATTAGCAAATAAACTCTTATCTTGACCCAGGGCTTAAACCCATTGGCTACTACAACCCCATTCCTTTAAATCAGGGTTCCCGAACCTGGTATCTTCTAGATGGTTTAGACTACAACACCAATCAGCCCACAACTAGTATGGCAACTGGTTTGATGGGCACCAGGTTTGGGGAAGCCAATTCCAGATCTGTGGATCTTTTGCCACAGTTTGGGGCAGGGTTTGGGGAAGAAGATGAGAGAAAAATTAAAATATAGCAGGAAATTATTTTTATATCAGAAATTTATATTTATTAAAACCCCCACACCTTTCAAACTGGAATGGCTAAGGTAGCTGTTTATTACAGGAATATTGATGGAACAAGAAAAGAATCATTATTTTCATACAGTTCAGAATGAGCTACAGAATGAGCAACAGCCCTGCAGTGATGGTGAGCCAGTGGACTATTAGTTAGGAGAGGAACCATATCTCATTGGTAGGATAGGGCTTCCTGGGCTCAGTTTCTGGAATCTTCTCTTAGGGCTGTTATCTGCCCCAAATCCTGGATGGCAGCTGTCATCCAAGGTAGGCAGTAATAACTTAGACCGAGCAATGACCGGACCCACTGTAAGGCAGTTTCCTTCATTCCTAGTCTTTTCACACTGCTGCAAATCCACTAAACACAGTTTTGTAGTTGTTTCTCTGTGCATTGTGGGTCCTTCCAGGCAAACAGATTGCAGACTGTTTCAGTGTGGTTTATCTGCGGTGTGAGGCCATGGTTAATTTGGATTCAAATCACTGTTTAATCTTGTAGTGCTCTGAACCAGTCACCATATCTCAGCCTAACTTGTCTCACAAGATGGTTGTGAGGTGGGAAGTTGGACAGCCCTTTTTATGTTACCCTGAGCTCATTGGAGGATGCAATGCAATAAAGAAATGAAGCAAATGATAAATGTGTGATACAATGAGGTATGGACAAATCTATCATTTTGGAGTTTTCTCTTTTTTCTAATATTAAATTCAGTTTGCCACATCAGTGTGTGTTTTTTTAAAAAAAGTCCTCACAAAAATGTGCCAGCACATACACATTTTTGTAGGCACTTTGGTGTAACGTATACATTTTTGCAAGTAATTTCCTCACATATAACACATTTTGTTTGAGGTTATTTTCACTAATATTTGCAGTTCCAGGCACGCTTCCCCTAACATACTACATTTATTTATTCAACAGAATGTAGATGCTGCTTGTTTTTAGTAAAATCTCTAAGCGGTTTGCAAGAAATATTAAAACTCCCATTAAAAAGAGACAAAAACAATTTAAAACATTTACAAACATTTTAACAGTAAAATAAGTTAAAATGCAGGAACACCTACTAATTGACATTTGTTTAATTTGAAGCATTTTGTACACATTTGGGGGGGGGCAGGAGAACTGCATCACAAATTTTGGACCAGTGTGAATTTTGAAAGATAGTTCATTTTTGGTTCATGTATTGGTTGGGGAAGTGCAGACTAGGTTCTTGTTAACATGGGAACTAAATTTCTCCCCACTCCTGAAGACAATGACTGTATAGCATCCCATAATCCCAGGTATTTATGTCTCCTTATCTACATTGTTCCCACCTGCAGTGGCTTTCCAAGGTGGAGTGGAGGAGAACTGGCATTGGGACTCTTATCCCTGATAATACCTAGCAAGCTCTGGAAGTGGGAAATAAAAGTGCAGCATGGTTCTTTAACTCACTTCTAGCACAAATGAAGCAAAATTGTTAAACCTGCAGTTTATCTGAGCCAGTCCTAAAGATGCACAACATACATCTTTTTCACTATGCATATGTCTGCAATTTTCCAAAGTTCCTGGCTAAGGGAGCGCAGATCATTTAGCTGCTCAGCATTTGTATGTAATAAAACACTCAAGGCATCTGGAGTTTTTTGGATCCTTCTCTTGGCATGAAGCTGTGTTGGAAGTGTTGGATTATCTTTGTACAGTTTGGAAATCAGCATGTTTTCCAGTGCAGTTGGAAACCTGTAACTGCTCACGTATCCTCTGTTGGGTCCTTTGTTATACTTCAGCGCCATTGGTTTGCTTGTGACTAGATAGAATAGTAAAAACAGGGAGTGGGGGGTGGACTTGAAAAGGAACTTTTGCAGGGGAAAAAAACAGATGAGAGATTTATGAAAATGAAGCCAAGAATGCTATATTCAGAATGCTATATGATAGCACTCTCCCTCATGGGTAAATCCTGGTTTACATAGGGAAATTAGATAACTTTTCCTTTTCCAAGTAGTATAACACATTTACTCTGCGGAGGCAAGATTTGAGTGTATTTACCCCCATATTCTGAGCCACTGTCTCCTTTACCTATCCTCACTATAGTCTGATTCTGGGTAGAAATAATACCTAGTGCCATGTAAGCCATTGCTTACTTCCAAGCAGGGAGGTGCAAATTTGTCAATTTTGATTTCTCTCAGTTTTTAATTTTTCCAGTCTTGAATTCAGTTCTCCACATCAGATTTTATGCTTAATCTTTTTTTTTAAATGCCTCATGAAAATTCACCACAATTTAAGTACAATTTTTTCCTAATGCACACTTTTGTATGTGCTGTTGCCTAACATACACTTTTTTGCAAAGCATATTTCCCCTAATATTTATATTTTCCCTAATATTCCCTTATATTCCCTTATATTCAGTTCACATGTTGGATCATATTTAGACAAAGTTTCAGCTGATTATTGTAACAGCCTTTTACCTATATACCGTATGTGCATTCTTGTATACATTACTTGGCTGGAGAACAGCATTGCAAAGTGTGGAGAAGTTTGTTGCAATTCACATACAGTTTTCAAAAGTGTGAATTAGGTGGGTTCACCTTTTAATGTAAATTGAATCAAATTTCTTCCCCATCCCAACTTCCAAGGGAAGTGTGTTCATGGCAGAGATCCCAAAGTGCTGTAGAAATGATGCATGAATAAAATAATCAAATCTACAAGGATTACTGCTCCTACTCAGCAAGAGCAATCTGGGTTCTGATGGAGCACTCCATGCAAATGGTTGATGTAGATGCAATTACTACATTGAAAAATTCCTGCAGCACTTAAAGACTAACAAATGTATTTTATTATGGCATACACTTTCATGGACTAAAGCCTACTTCATCAGATGCATGCAAAATCTTAGTTGGCTGGTACTGTATATACAAAAAGGCAAAAGGAAGAAAAATGTAAGATGGGAGTTGAATGGCAATGAGATAAAAAAAAAAGTACAATCAGGAGTAATTTAGTTATAACGTAAACATATGTTGAATTGGCACAGTAGCTATTTACAACAATAGGCTGGTGATAATTTATTCAGCATTGCTAAAATGATTGTGTTAGCACATCTAGTGGGACAGGAAACTCTATTTAGACCCATACGAATAGAATAGAACTTCTTGATAAGTTGTAATTCAGCCATTTCACACTGAAGGTCCCTTTCAAGTTAGTTTTGATAGCCACTTTATGGTCAGTAACAGAATTAGTGACCTGGTAAGCTGAAATTATTAGGTCCAGTAATAAAGTTGCCTGACTTTGATATGGGGACCGAGCTGGTATACGGGTTTGTTGCAAGGCCTGGCCTCTATGCTTGTGTCTTTGTTTTGTGGTCTGTTGGGGCTGGAGAGCAACTGTTGGGGCTGCAAGCAAGACATCTGTAAGCCCAGACAGGCCTACCAGATGTGAAAGGGAAACATAATTATTGCTCAGGATGTATGACATTCCATCCACATTGTGATGCTCATTCAGGCCCCGATGAACTGGCTGGATGCATCTTTTCATGAGCATGTGGGTGCGTGCCTCCATCCAAAGCCAGCAATAGACTGGATCAGGGCCAATCTCTTGTTGCATCTGTTATTATGAACTTCATGTCACACACTGCCCATTCAGCCGAGAGAAAATGTTTTAAAGAGTAATGCTTTAAAATAAATGATATATGTTTTCATTTCATATAGGAACTACTGGGATGTATCCATTTATAATCTAGTTCACAAAAACATGTATATGTCTTAAGACGTTTCTTTCTCTCTCTCTTTCTCTCTGTGTTGTGTATTTCTCAGCTTATATTCAGTTCACATGTTGGATCATATTTAGACAAAGTTTCAGCGGATAATTGTAGCAGCCTTTTACCAACTCATGACAAGACTGCCAACATTTCAGTACTGAAATTTCGCCAGCAAAACTGTAGAGTGAGAAATCTTTTTTTAAAAAAATGAAAGAAAAACCTGTTTGACTTTTGAATAAACATGATAGAAAAAAATATTTTTCAGCATACTTAGCTGTGATTGTTTCCTACATATGAGGCTCACTGCCATTTTGTTCCATTTGTATTATTGTAGGATATCATGCCAGGATACACTAGGGGAATATTCAGCCAAAATGAAGCTTCCGTATGTGTTATAGATTCAGTGGGGAAAATTCATGTCAGCGCTTAACTTTTCCCAATGAAAATAATTTAAAAATTAAACAATGTTTTGAAATGCTTAAATATTGTGTTCAATATGTTTAGTCCCAACCTTTTTCACAGCTCTCTACAGTAGTGTATGACTGTGTAGCCATATAACCCTCAACTAGCTTTTTTCTGTTAAAACTGCAAACTACCTTTGAAAAGAATTGAATCAAGTTTCTTTTACATTTTTGGATGAATTGAGCCTTAATAAAAAAAATATGCTTGGTTCATTTAATTTGGTTTAATTATTTTTCTATTTTAATTCCCATGTACTTTTATATCTTCAATTAAATATTTTTAATATAGTATATTGGAAGTATTATTATGAGAAAGATGCATTGCTTATACATGCACCCTCTGCATATTCAATCATATATTCTAAAATAACACAGCCTGAATATCTATCTAAAAGCATATAAATACTATGTATTGTCCATACACTTGTTTCAGTGCTCTGTACTTTAAGGTTGGAAGAGAGACTGTATTTGGCTGAAGAAAAGAAATGTGAATCTGGTACCAAAACATTCATTAATGCTAGCCAGTTTTTGGCAACGAAAGGCAATATTGGATCCTGGATGGGTACCAATTGTTTTATCTTCCTTTGCACTCCTCTTTTTACCTGAAGACTTATTAGCTATAATCTCAAGACATGGCCATGCAGGATTTATTTATTTATCTTGGTGCCTTGGAATCAGTGCTGGAAGTGGTACCTAACAAAAGAAGGTACCTGGGTATGGGACATTTTGTTTGACCTTGGTCCTCTCTGTATCACTTATGTCCAACCTAGTTTCCTCTTTCATCTGTCTTGAAAAGAGGCAGGGGAACGGCACGGGCCATTTCTCTGTTGTTGTTTTTGTCAGACTTTATACTTCGCCCCTCAGTCAAATACTCACACTGGCTTAGGTTCAGAAATGCCATATCAAATTCATTCTGTAGTAATACCCAGAAACACCCTAGATGATAGACAACCGAGGCAATACAGTCCTGTTGTACATCACACAAGGAAATGTGAGGCAAAGGAACTATTGTTGAGTGTACCACACCCTGATGATGGTACCATGCTTGTAGAATAGTTTTAGAGTGCAGTATTAAGCTTATACCCCTGGATAGCAACTAGTTTTCCAGTAAG